CCATCACCACCCTTACTTTCTGCATCACTTGCCTCTACTACCATCACCACCCTACCATCCTGCCACCTCTACTACCATCACCACCTCTACTACATCACCATACATACTACCATCACTGCCACCTCTACCATCACTGCCACCTCTACTACCATCACCACCCTTACTGCCATCACTGCCACCTCTACTACCATCACCGCCCTTACTACCATCACTGCCACCTCTACTACCATCACTACCTCTCTGCCATCACCACCCTTACTACCATCACTGCCACCTCTACTACCATCACTGCCACCTCTCTTCCATCACCACCCTTACTGCATCACCTACCTCTACTATCACTGCCTCTACTACCATCACCACCCCTACTGCATCTACCCCTACTACCATCACTGCCACCTCTACTACCATCACCACCCCTACCATCTGCCCCTACTACCATCACTGCCCACCTCTACTACCATCACTACACACCCTCTACTACCATCACCACTACTACCATCACCACCCCGCCCCACTACCATCACTGCACCTCTACTACCATCACCACCCTTACTACCATCACTGCCTCTACTACCATCACCACCCTTACTACCATCACTGCCACCTCTACTCTGCATCACCACCCTTACTACCATCACTGCCACCATCACCACCCTTACTACCATCACTGCCACCTCTACTACCATCACTACCTCTACTACCATCACCACCTACTGCATCACTGCCACCTCTGCTACCATCACTGCCACCTCTACTACCATCACCACCCTTACTACCATCCACTGCCACCTCTACTACCATCCGCCTCCCACTGCCACTCTACTGCCATCCTGCCTCTGCCATCACCCACTACTCATCACTGCCCCCTCTACCATCACCCACCTCTACCATCATCTTCCTTACTACCATCACTGCCACCTCTCTACTACCATCACCACCCTTACTACCATCACTGCCCACCTCTACTACCATCACTGCCACCTCTACTACCTCACTGCCACCTCTACCATCACTGCCACCTCTACTACCATCACCACCCTTACTACCATCACCACCCTTACTACCATCACTGCCACCTCTACCATCACTGCCACCTCTACTACCATCACCACCCTGCATCACCACCATACTACCATCACTGCCACCTCCTCTACCATCACCACCCTACTACATCACCACCCCTTACTGCATCACACACCTCTACTACCATCACTGCACCTCTACTACCATCCACCACCCCTACTACCATCACCACCCTTACTACCATCTGCCACCTCCCCTACTACCATCTGCCACCTCTACTACCATCCACCACCCTTACTCCATCACTGCCTCTACTACCATCACCTACCTCTACTACCCATCACTGCCACCTCTACTACCATCACCACCCCTACTACCATCACCAACCTTACCATCACTGCCACCACTACCATCACCCTTACTACCATCCTTACCTCTACTGCCATCACCTCTACTACCATCTGCCTTACCTCTACTACCATCTGCCACCTCTGCACCATCACTGCCACCTCTACTACCATCACCACCCTTACCATCACTGCCACCTACTACCATCACCACCATACTACCATCACGCCACCTCTACTACCATCCACTGCCACCTCTACACATCCCACCTACTACCATCACTGCCACCCCTACTACCATCACCACCCCTACTACCATCACCTCTACTACCATCACACCCCTACTACCTGCACCTCTACTACCATCACTGCCACCTCCTACCATCACCACCCTTACTACCATCTTACCTCTATTACCATCACCACCCATACTACCATCACCACCCCTACTACCATCACTGCCACCTCTACTACCATCACCACCCTTACTACCATCACTGCCACCTCTGCCATCACTTCCACCTCTACTGCCATCACCTACCCTCACCACCTCTACCCATCACTGCCCCCTCTACTACCATCACCACCCTACTACCATCACCACCCTTACTACCATCACTGCCACCTCTACTACCATCACCACCTCTACTACCATCACCACCCTACTACCATCACCACCCCTACTACTATCACCACCCTACTACCATCACTGCCACCTCTACTACCATCACCTCTACTACCATCACCACCCTACCATCACACCTCTACTACCATCACTGCCACCTCCTACTACTGCCACCTCTACTACCATCACCACCCCTACTACCATCACCACCCTTACTACCATCACTGCCACCTCTACTGCCATCACCACCCTTACTACCATCACTGCCACCTCTACTACCATCACCACCCCTACTACCATCACCACCCTTACTACCATCACTGCCACCTCTACTACCATCACTGCCACCTCTAGTACCATCTCCACCAACACAGTTCTCTCAATACTGTACTGAGAGACATAGTATTTTCAGCATAAGGGATCAATACAAAAATTAGTACTGTACTGTATATGTGTAAACTAACTACAGTATTGATATGTGACCATCATAAAGAACTGTTAGGATCAACAAAGGGCACCAAGAGAGATGGCCCCTCAGCAACAGTGGTGGTGGTCGCCTCCATCCCTCCCTCCGACAACTATCACACTTAAGAGTGGTCAAGAGAGTGCGCCTCCTATCTCCCCACTCTATCTGAACAGTGTTCTTGATTACTAAAGTAGAACGATAGTTGTATAACTTCTAAAAGCTCATGGTGACGACCAGTTATTTTTAGGATCACTTTCAGCAAGTTCAAAATATGGGGTAAAGTCACTGATGAAGTTACTTACATGAAACATTTATTGATTACTTACTGGCAGATATGATCCAGCTGACTCTATAAGTGCAGTTTAATTTCAATATCATGAATAGTTTTACCCAGGGGTTTTGTTAAGATGATGCGGGTGTTGTGAGTTTGGCCACAATATGTGGAATTCACTCACGTACGATGAACCTAAAAATAAAAATGAAGAGTACATTACTTAAATTGAATTTACATTTATTCCATAATTTCTTTGTTAAAAGAAATATGACATGTAAACAAAGTTGAAAGAAAAGTATTACTTTCTGTAAATTGATTAACATTCATTGGTATCTCTTTCCAGTAAAGAATATGATCTTTGAAGTGGTGACCAGTGAGGGGGATGAGACTGTCCAGGTACTGTATCTCTAGACTTTGAACTGCATTTCTAGGTAACGACAAGTTAATAATGCAGCCAGACACAACAGGTCATGTATGGGTGTCAAGTGAGCGGTGGTGCATTGTTACTAGGTGGCGGAGTGCACCGCGTGTGTGTGTGTGTCTCACCCATGAGAGTGCAGTATTTGGTGATGAAAGAGTGGGATGGAGAATGAATGGGGAAAGTGTAGTTTGTTTTGTTCTTTGGAGTGTTTTGTGTTCACTCTATTTTGGTAATTCACTTCAGTTATTTACATACAGTATACTGTACAGTACTGTACTGTATGATGTAATCTGGTAATTATCTTGGAGAGAATAAAATAGCGGTTAAGTAGTTTTGAAGTACAATATACTGTAGTACTGTACATGTAAGCTCGGGGTTAAAAGTCCGCTCCCTCTGTAAATGAAGCAGCATTGACCCCAAGTAAGATGAAACAGTCAGGCTAAGTCAATTTGAAGACTCATTCCCGTGACTCAGTTTCACCACGGGGAGCAAACTTTTGCCAGTGACTCTTTATACCATCAACAAAGACAATTGGTAACATGGGTATATTTTTTTATCCTGATACTAATTCTAAAGGTTTAAATATTCCTAAACACGTGAAATAATTTTATTTTCTTGATAATTACAAATGGTTCAGTAAACCTTTTGTTGGAGCACTATGTACAAAATTTGGCAATACACTATTCATGACATTAAACATGAAGTGAATACAACTTGGTAAAACTATGTTTCTAGTTCTCTAAAGTTAATTATGTAACTTCATTAAATTCTAACCAAAAGTATAATGGTTATAAATACTATTTATAACTACAATCAAACATCTCGGAAAATTATTATTGAGAAAAATTGCCCTTTTGATCTTCTTTTTGATAATGTTACAAATCATTAAAAGGCATTACTGTGTATGTTTTAATACAGTCTATAAATTATTTTATTTACTGTATTAAAAGCAAGGATGCATATCTCTTGCCAACCTCTCCACATCAACCATAGAGATGTATCTCTCTTAGTTTTTACTGATGTCTAGTGTGGCACTAACCTAGAATATGCACTTAAAGACCTTAGCTGTTGAAGCGCAGTACAGTACAGTATAATACATTATGACATCTTCACACCATCAGAAATGCCACAAACTATGGAATTCTTTATGTTACAGTTGGGCAACCAACATCCAAAGAGGTTGTTGCCAACTGCTTGTACAGTATTTATTAACAAAAAAAGGATATAAAAATTTTGAAAATCTGGTCTATTAAAAAGATAAGAGGAGTACTTATATTCACAGCTTAAGAGCCCTGAGTCAATTGTGGATGCCTTACAGAGTTACTGGCCATGGTAAAGTTTACAAACACCCTTTAACTCCCTAATTTTCCCAACAAGATTGATGATGACACGTGGTAAAGGAGATCATCATCCATACTTGATTGGTAACTAAATTATGAGGAAGACGATGTACAGTAACTTAAAAAAATCAATTTTGCTTGAATGCCTCAGCAAGTTAAATGACAGCAAAATTTCTGTCCATCAATTTTACACTTAAAGTAATTCTTTTCTACAGAGAGCACTACTGTACCTTGTTTCCCCCAGCACACTCCACTGACATAATACATGTACAATACTTTGACCTTAACAACTACTGACTAAACTCACCTCATGCACTATCCCCCTCTTACCACCATTTTTAATACCTTATGTGTAGGAACGTATTTCTCATGAGGGAAGCACACTTGCTTTTTGTAACCACTGGTACCTTTTTTAAGGGGATCAATGACTATCTAAAATTATAGTATCTGAACACAGTGGGGAGTGCGTGCCACTAGTGCTTCCTCAAGTTGTGTGTCAGTATAAATCTCTTCCATGGGTGGGTCACTTATTATGGGTAGTCATGACCATATTATCTTGGTGAGAAAACAGATTTTTACTTTTTTTCCTTCATGTTTTCCTGTAACCCAAATGGCTTCAATTTCCCCATTACATGAAATACTTTACTTTGACAAGCACCAAGTTGCATTATAATTAATGTACCATACTGATAAAAAACCAAGGTACAGTACTGTACTGTACAGTATATACAAGGTGTATCGCAACGTTATATCATAACTTCAGGGGCTGATTCCTGGGGTCGTTACCAGTCAGATATGTAATACAGTATGTACTATGGGGAGATGTATGTACTACAGTCAAGAGAATTAAAATAATATGACAACCATTCCCATCACATAACCAATACACAAAGTGCTTCTCCATATATTTCTCCTTCGTGAATGTCAACGGCATATTCACAGCTAATCTGATTAACAGGCTACCACTAGGCATCACACAATCACACCCTGAGCTGCACTCATTGCTAATGTAAGCACTAGTAAGGCCTTGATTCTCATTATGATGCTTTATGATTCATAATGACGGCCTCGCCGTTTTTTAATCAGTTTCATACAGCTTGTACTGTACTAGCAAATCATGCTGCATTGGGAAGGAATAGGAGAGGTTGATACACCTGATGCTATGTGACACACACACACACATCTCTCACATATAATTATACTTGTTCTCCCCATACCTCCACAACCATTTTGAATCAGACCAAAGTTCATAATATATTTCTGACTGCTAATGACTCCAGGAATCAGCCCCTTAAGTTATAACATAACATTGCAGTATGCCCTGTATATACAGTATATAGATAAAAATGCCTGGGTTCATACATAATATACATACTCTACACAGTACTATACTTGGATGTAGAATTTATTTTAATTACATAAACAACATTGAAGACCACCATTTAACAGGTGGTAACTTGTATGACGTTTAAACAAGGAGAGTTTTGTTACTTTATATTCATTACTTATTGAATTCTGTATTTCCCTGAACTATACTGTCACAGTCATGATATAACCTGATGTTATTATGTGAGAACATGACAGAATTACAAGTCAATACAAAATTATCGACCACCCTTCCACGAGTAACAGTGTGAAACATCTTGTGAAAACTGTAAACATATACCTGTGGTTACCGGAGTCAGCTGGTTGCTATTGATCATTTTCTATTCCAGTAACCTTGAGGTGAATGATACTTAGTTTACTGACTGTATATAGGCAAGATACTTTACTTAATTAGCTTGAATTTAAGATAATAGTAATACTGTACAGTATTTCCCGTTAGCCGGAATATCTAGTCCCCAGAACTCTCCAATAGCCAGAATTAATTTTTAGCCTTCAGGGAAACTTCAAGAAAACCCTCTCCATTCCATGTATAGAAACGAGCTTCTGAAGAGAATATAATGAACATTTTCCCTAAAAATTAAGAGAAAATATCTCTGTTTCCATCATGAGAACAAATTTTCCAGGAGTTCCAAGAGATTGCATTATTCTCCAATACGTTGGTGGGATAACTGCTTGGGTAATAAAAGCCATAGGCTCCATTGCACAAGGTTGTTCACTCGTTTGCTGCTGCTTTTTGTGTACAATTTGTGTTGTGCAGTAATGTACATTACTGTACCTGGACACATTCAGCCAAGAATACAGTGTTAAGATGTAAAAAGTGATTACTGTACATTCATTAAGTGTGAAAGTACTGTATGTTGCATGCAGAATAGACAAAGTATGCCTACTGTAGTTTAAAGGGTACAGTATACAGTGCATGTACAATCCCTCCTCCATGAAGGGAGAGGAGTGACAGATAGCAACACCTGCTACAGTAGATGGTACAGGACAAAGGCAGGCCATCCTGTATCATCATATCACCATTTGGCCAGCCTGCATCACAAGTTCAAGACGACAGTATCTGCTGGTGGGTACAGAAGTATAGTATTTACAGTAGTATTTTTGCTTATTTACAATATATGGTATTGTACGTGTACATGTACAGTCACCCAAAAAAGTCCTGTCGCGAACCACGATTCAGACTCGTGAACCCGAAGCAGTAGACACTGATACATTATTCTGTCCATAAATGCTTCAGATTCAAGAGTCTGAATCTCGAAGTTCATGGTTTGCGACAGGACTTTTTTAGGTGACTGTACAGTGGTCTTTGCCTAAATAAATACAGCTGTGTCTGTCCGTGCGAGATGCATAGTTTACACTGTCGGAAATTTTACCCCGTACAGTAACCAGAAAAATTCCGGGGATGTGCAATTTTTTCCGGGGAAGAGAAAATTTGTCTCAATACCAGGAAATCTCTCGTAAGCAGAACCGCTCTGCACCAACTATTCAGGATAATACGGATATCACTGTTTCGTAAAATGTCTGTAACTTGCAAATTAACAAAGGTGCAAATTTTCTTTGTGAGAGGGAGGGGGGGGGGTGCAGTTATGAGAAAGGACCAAGACCAGGTTATGCAGCTTGGTTATCACTCCAGGTGGGTGATGCTTCCATCCTCACCACATTTAAATTCTCATGTAGGTATACTTCACACTTATTATGACAGCTGTGCCGAAGAACATAAACTTTTGTTAGTCACGTTTTTGTATTACAAACATATGGATATTATCATAAAGTTGTAACAGTACTGTATTAGTAACTTCAATATAAAATTAGTAATTGTCAACTGCAGTGCTGCATATTGACTGTGCTGTGACTACATATAACTACTGTTTTGTTTAGCTAAATACTCTACCATAATAGTGTTACAATAATGTACTGGGTGTGCATATTCAACATAATGAAACATACTCAGAAATCTTCCAGGGCCAGAGGCCTGCGTATATACTGTAGCCTCGTCTTACTCAGCGTGACACGTCGGGGTGTAGGTCATATCATGGTGTACATAGTGTTCCATGCTGCAGTGACTGTCTGAACCATCTACAACTCCCAGCAGATCAATGCCTTCTGGTGAGCATAGGACAATGTTTATGTATTTTTCATTACTGTATAATCTATAGGGTGTTTTGTATAAATGGTGCCAAATGGGGGAGGGTTAGGGGTCAGTTAGGATTTGGAATATGAGACATTAAGTTCTTCAGGGTTACAATTGACTAGGGTTAGGAAATAAAGAGAATTTTTAAAACAGTTAATAAATACAGAACATCCTCTTATTTCTTAAACCAACCCTATCCTGCTTGGTTCCATTTATACAATACCAACAGATGAACATCAAGATTAACATTCATGTTCACAGGTCAACACAGGTCTAAATTTGCTTTAAGTAAAAATGATTTTTAGAGTATCACCAGTCACCACAATAAGCCCTCACAGTAGCTGTAACACCTGATCCACATATGGTTGTCTTAGGAAAGTTTGACTATACTATACTGATGATCTACACAGGTATCCCTCGCTATACCGATGGGTTAGGTTCCTCAAAACCATTCGTTAAGTGAATTTTCATGTAGCAAATAAAAGAATATACTGTAAGGGAAAAATAGGGTTCAGTTCCCAATGACAAGAATACCCCAATACCATACCCCAAAACATGAAATCAGTTCACGAACAACAAAAAAAAAACCTAATTTAATGATAATTAGTACAGTACTCTGTACACAACTACATTGTACAGTAATTTACTACCAAACACATTAAACACATTAATAAAATACTACCTAGAATTATAGATGATAATATGCAGTTAAATCCATTAGGAAAAAGCTAAATGAAAGTTTAACACAACTGCCATTTGCATAGATGCTGGCTGCATCACGCGTGGCTGCCCTCAGGTCTCGCCATTGCAACACACTGAACGCAGACCAGCTGCCTCTGCCGGCTCTTAGCAATGTTTCCTTTCCGCTCTCACATATACAAAAAGCCTTTTATTCCCTTTATGTTTTTGGCCTGATGATAGTTATTTCTTTTACTTTTTTTTACATTATGTATGCAGGATTGTGTGTGCTTGTAACGGAGTAAAAAAAAGTGAAGAAAATTTCTACTCAAAATTAGGAGTTGAAAAATAAACTTAACCCCCCCACAGTCCATCCTGCTAACTCTCACTGGTGCACGAAGAAATGTTTATTCCCTTTATGCTTTTAACCTTATGATAATTTTTTTTTACATTATGTAATGTAGGATTGCATGTACATGTAACTGAAAAAAGAAAAGAAAAAAGTTATGTTTATATTCCCTGTACAGATACCTGAAATTACAAGTTGAAAAATAACCATAACATAACTCCTACCCCAGTCTGGGAGGGAGAGTGCCAGGGGAATGTGACCACTCCAGGTGACTCCAGTGACATGCAATTTTAATTATTGCCCGGATCCAATTTCACATAAGCAGGGGAAGCTTTCGTAACACAAAAAAGAAATAGTAAGTTAGGAAATTTGTATTAGTGAATTTCTGTATCTCAAACATTCATATACTGTACTGTACAGTAGTGAGGGATACCTGTATACAGTAATTCTAGACTAACAATACAGCAACTGTAATTGTACTAATATTACAGGGCACTGTAACATCCATGTCATTCAGTGACACGTTATATATATAGATACTGTATTCATATAGCATTTCCCTAGTAAATATATTCCCTTTAAAAATTTGACAAGATTTTGAATTTAAAATTTATTTGATTGATAGGTTTTCTTACTCTAAGGTACTGTATGTGACTGTCCAACAGGAAGCCACCATGTGACAATGGTTTGCTCTTTATATGATCTTTATCTTTTCACTGCTGGTGTTCTCCAATGTTATATAATTTCCTTTAATTAATTTACACGATTTATATTATTTGACATTACCATTTAGTATGCAGAGTATCTTATAACATTTAATAGCCAAGAGGTCTTACTGCAGTACAGGTAGTATATTTTGTTCCTATGTCTGGCTTCCCACTGCTGCTATACACTATCAACACTGATTAAAGTCTAAAACAGCTGATATAAAAGTGTTCTATGAAAATCATGAGCAACTGTATTAATACATGAAGTGGTCTAGAACAGGTGAGCAGTGCTGCTGGAGCACCACTCTGGTACCTTCATTCATCCTGAGAGATCTTTATATTGCTGACAGCTTGACAGTAAATCAAATGGACCGACATGAAAATTCTAGATTCATCTTGTGACATCAAATAATAATTGATATACTGTACCAAGTATCAGACTCCCAGTCCCAGTGGCAATATAACCTCATATTATATAGCAACTGAGCAGCACAGCACCTACCCGTATATAGGTGCTCCTCGACTTAAGAACATTCAACTTACAAACTTTCAGAGATACAAACATCATGTGGATGAGACTGGATTATTTTGAAGAAAATTCCAAATAGAACAAACATTACCTTAGAGGAAAAGAGTGAGCCAGATTTTAAGGCTGTATAAAAGGGTATAGCTGTACTAAATATCCATAATCTTTTCATTTTTTACAATATGTTTGGTATCTACAAGAGTAAAGTTGGACTTACAAACAAGCCTCAGGAACGTAATTCTTTCACAAGTAGAGGAGCACCTGTATATAGATACAAGCTACCAGTTACAGGCTCTACATATATCTCAGGTACAGTAGCTAAAAAGAGTATCTGTGTGAAACAATATGATCCCACGGACGATAGGTATTGAGATATGCGTGTTGTTGTCTTCTTACACTATATGAGTGTAATCACTTAACTGTTTATCTTATTCCTATATGCCAACAGTGTTGGATACTGAATGGCGGTGGGTGAAGACACGCATACCAACCCGCCCGAGACATCACGAGTTGTACGTCCATTTTCTGAAGTCATCGGGCCACCCTGTCAGATACTTTCTTTAGCTACTGTACAAATTATTATTCATTGTTTCTTACACATTCTACTGTTTCCCATATACTGTACTGTATTTATTTCTAATAAGTAATTTAAAGTTGCTATGTAAACAAATAATGTTATATACTCATAAAATAGCATGTTGACATACAGATCATCTTGTTTATACAGTATATGCTTGATATACTGTAATCAATAATCAGATCGCTATAATTTGGAGTTCTGTTTAATTTGTATGTTACTTTTTTTTAGGGAATTAAACAATTACAATTCAGAATGAATATGAAATAACGAGCTGTTCCGAAAAATTGATTACTGTATTATTATAGGAATATTTTATGAAATAGATTAAAATGAATGAATTACAGTATAGGAATAAAATATGAATTATATTGATACAAAACTACATTTACGTGCATAGCCAGTGAGGGGTGGTGGAGGAGGAGGGAGCGAGTGCAGTTTAGACTGAGAGGACAACTCACCTCTCACTCGTCACCCCGTGATCCCTTTATAATAGGGGTGTCAAACTCATGGCCCGCGGACAAAATGTGGCCCTTGGGATGGTCCATTGTGGTCCGCGGGATGACGGTAAACTTTATCAGCCCATGAAATTATAATAGAAATAGATATGAAGGAAAAATGCAAATATGATTAAGTCAGTAAATTCCAAAATGATCTTTACATAATTGTGGCAATAATTGAATTTATATTGTTAATGCTAGTAATAACACTACTGAAAAGGGAAAATGCATCGTCTGTGCTTTTTGCTATCCTACTATTAGCGTTACTCATGTTTATTAAGTAAAATGAATTTTACACACTTAATATCAGACAAAACCAAATGAGGTATTCCTGATAAGTCAGGTAAGGCAATGTGTGAAGCTGTAAACTTCAATCCTGCAAATATTTGATATAGCACTTGTGTTGGCCCTGAAGAGGGTAACTAAAATAAGAATTGGCCCTCTAAAGGTTTTGAGTTTGACAGCGACCGCTGCTTTATAGCGACAGCATGTAATTTCACCATAATTCCAATATTATTTAGGTCCATTTGGTGCTGGGTTAATAAAACATTATTGAAAAATGATTAATTTTTCTCCCAAAATTCCACACTCAATCCTAGATGAGCTATTACGCCTTAGTATATTCCTCACCTCTTGTTTACAGAGCGGTAGCAGCTGGTCGGTTTTGCTTTCCCTAACAATGTTACCAGCACTCACCAGGTGTGCGTGATCTAGGTATATGCTGTGGTTATCAGCATATATATATATATATATATATATATATATATATATATATATATATATATATATATATATATATATATATATATATATATATATATATATATATTCTCATTAATTCAACTTCAAAGGGGCTATGGGTCACTCAAATTACCAAAAAATCCAGTGTTTGAGAGATGGTGAGTGCTGGTAACATTGTTAGGGAAAGCAATATATATATATATATATGCTGATAACCACAAGGAAAGAAGAAAACACGAAGTTCCCAGGGGTGAGTACAGAATGTACTCACCCCTGAAGATGTGAATTACACGAAAGCGCTTGGGAACTTCGTGTTTTCTTCTTTCCTTGTGGTTATCAGCATATACCTAGATCACGCGCACCCACAGCGATTTACTTGCATATATATATATATAACTAAAATATTTTTGGAACTCTGGCACCTCAAAATTTAGCACTGTACCCCTGGTCAGGATTTCTGACGAGTTAAAAAATTTATAAAAAAAGGACATAATATGGCTGATTACGTCACTCTGTCAGTCATCTTACGTTCTGTCAGAAATTACATCCATGACACTCTCTCAGATATGGAAGAAGCCATTCAAAGACATCACAATAATTGATGACAGTTGATGATCAGCCCTTGGCTACTCTTCTAACATACATTTTGATTTTAAAACACATATTTCTACTACAGGAACTATTGGGATTGTTTATAATGTAACAATTGCTCTGGAGTCTAGCCATACATGTAGGCTAGTGGAACAAAGCCTTAAATAAACTTTGGTTCAAATTTTATTATTCTTTTTCAATCTCACTCGCTTATTTTGTAGTAAAACTGTCTCTCTCTATTCTGCTTGCTAATCTTTCGGTACTCTGCTTACTAATCTTTCTGTACTCTGCTTACTAATCTTTCTGTATTCTCCTTATTTATCTTTCTGTATTCTGCTTGCTAATCTTTACGACTGATAACTGGTCACGAAGCTCCAGGCTGTTCATAATTCTTAGTGTTAGCTTGTACTGTACTGTAGTCAGCCCTCCCTTTCATTCTTAATTTCATTCTCCATTTCCTCTTCTACACATCATTATATACTGCCAACATTTAATTATATATTACGATTCTTCATCTAATGGATTTTGTTTCTTCCAATCCTAAAATACTTTCTCGACTGAAACTATTTAACTATTGGTCACTAATCATCAATACTCAAGTCATCTTACTGTACTTAAGTTATATACACAGTAAAATAGTGTTTCTATTACTCCTTGCCAGTGCTTGTCTCAAATATTTCTCCCTAAAAGGAAATGATTAGTTATTCTAAAAAAATTCTTAATACTGGTATCATTCATCTAACTCCATTTCTTAACTTACAATGATTTATTCTAAGGTGTGAGGCTTATTATTTGTGAAGTACATAAAATATACTGTATAACAAGAGAAAAATGCCAAAAACAAACTTCCAATTCTGCAAAACTATGATGACAATATAAAGAACCCAGTAGAGTAAATATACAAAACAATACCAATACACTGGTTTTTACTCACACTATACTGTATACAGTACCAACTTTCCTTAGGAGTTTTTACTGTAACTTCTTTCTTCAAATGGAATTGTGACATAAAAGTTAAGCACTGTATAGTAATATCTCCGTTAGCGGGAATTTCTCAAACCCGGAACTCTCCGATAGGAATTGAAATTTTCTCAGAAAATCGTTCCCAAAGCCTGAATTTTCCAGAAAATTCAGGCTTTGGGAACTATTTTTCGAAGAGCACATTTTCCGGAAAATTCCGAGAAAATTTCCCAATACCCGGGAAATTCCAGAAAATTCCGGGGATGGGGGAGTTTTTATCCATGTTTGAGAGATAAAGTCAGGCGCATTTTCTGGAGATTCCGAGAAATTTTTTCTGATACCTGGAAATTTCCGGGGATGGGGGATATTTTTCCGAGTTTGAGAGATGATGTAATGGGCAATTTCTGGAACTTCCGAGAACATGTTTCCGTTATCCGGAAAATTCCGGGGATGAGGGATTTTTTCCGGCTTTGAGAGAGAGGTCTCGTTACCCAGAAATCTCTCGTTCCCGGAAGTGCTCTGCACCAATTGTTCCGGCTAACGGGGATATCACTTATAATTATTAAAGCAGTTCCCATGCACAATAAAATGTTCAAACTAAAATCAAGTTCCATTTTATTATTAAATGAGTTTTATGACCAAAACAAAAACACAATCTGCAACAAGATATTGGCAACAGTTCCTGTGGTACCAGTCTTAAACAACATGTCACAGGTCCAACCATCCAAAGATAATCATAATAATTAATTTCAACTGCTACAAAACCAAATAACCTGTCAATCAATTTCCTCTTTCTATTTAAAATAATAAAAATTTTCAGCAAAGGTTCAACAACACCAAGATATGAAATGAGTCTTGGTACAAAGTTGACTATCATCCTGGCTGGCATACTTAACATATACAGCACAGTACAGTACAGTACAGTATACCGGTTCGTGTCCTCATTATTTAAATAAGTGACTCAGTCTTAGGTAATGCAGTAAAAAAAAATGATTGTTGTAAATATCTTAAAACTGACTTCTTAGAACTCTTAAAACAACTTTTTCAATCAACATTTTACACAGTATTTTCTATCAATTAACCTTTCACCTAATTTTATTTCTTCTTACTTCTATTTACTTCACTCTGTATTATGTTTCGCTGATTACTAATGACAAATTTCCTTAATTTTCAACATTTTAACCATTTTTGTGTCAACCATCCCACTTTTTCCAAATTTCAATCTATCAGAAAAAACCTCTGGACTACCTTTACGGTTTCTAATCTTAACAATACTGTACAGCAGGGGTTGGCAACCTTTTGAACACACTGTACCAGTTTTTAACATTTCTACTGCCCCGCGTGCCAACTATAATTTTCAATATGCAAATTATTGTCACGTGTATACAGTATTGATAAATAATGCTTTGAAATGAAATACACACAATTACATATGAATGGTAAGATATATAATAAAATACTTTAAAATGCTCTCACCATTTTAGTGTGATCCCTGTCCCTGCTTCCCCTTGCTCAGTGTTGCTATGTCGGGAGTATATCTGGACACCTTAAGTTACACACACCCCTCGGAGTGTAAGTCAGCTGTGATGAGGATATTTTTCATGCGTGATAATATCTGCTCACACAGATATGTCGATCCATAGGTTGAAAGCAGTGTGAAGGCAACCTTCTTCATGCCATCAAATTTCTCTGGTAGGGATGCCCAGCAGCTTAGGGTGGAGACCTCATGATCACTCACAGTCGTTTAGAGTGATTTACGTAGTTCTGTGAACTTTACCACCCATAATGAAGACAACTTAAAATCGATCAGCTGCATCTCTAGGTCCCCAATTTCCATCCACTCAAATAAAGACAATTCCTCAAAGTTTTCAGGTTTAATTAAAAAGGAAAACATTGGGCCAATGTGCTGGAAATCTTGAAATCTGACAGAGAACTCTGACTTCAGTTCTTGCATGTACACTGTAATCTCTGTAATGTTCACACAATGATGTTCTGGCCACCCCTTCAGGTGCGTGAAGTAGCGGAAAGTTGTAGTTTCAATAACCACCAAGTAAACTGTCAGCTTTGTAACAAAAGTCTTCCAAGTGTCATACAGATCCACAACTGTTTGTCCTGCAGGCAAAGATTAAGGTCACTGAGGTGTTTGGTGATGTCTGAGAGAAACATAAGTTTCACTACCCATTGGTCATCTTCCAGTTCGGGGTATTTTTGGCCCTTTTCTTTCAGATAGATCCTGATTTCATCACAGCATTCCATGAACCATTCTAAAACTTAGCCACCTAACACTGGAGTAAAGGGGCATGTCTCCATATGCACTATTCATCTCATCAAGAAAACTGGAATTGTCTGTGTAGAAGATCGTGCAATCTAAAAATTCAAAATTTTTGTCACAGTGGCCATTACTTTATTGGGATAAGAGTTTGAAATTCTGGCACACAGATTTCCTTGATGAATAATGCAGTGTAACTTCAGGATGGGGTGTCCAATTTTATCCTCAATTTGGATGGCAAATCCCCTGTGTTTTCCTACCATAGCAGGAGTGCCATCCGTTGTAACTGCAAATATTTTTTTAATATCAACCCCTCTCTCCTCAAATTAATCAATGAACGTTTTAACAATGTCATCCCCCTTGGTAGTACCATACATAGGTCTAAGGCAGCACAGCTCCTCGTGTACCTCCGTGTCACTGTACCTGGCGATAATAGCCAAATGTTGTATGTCATTTATATCAACTCTCTCATCAGCAGCAATACTGAACACAGTTACATTTGTTAATGCAACAGTTTGCTTTTCTCTTATATTTACAACCATGCCTGATATGTGCCTCTCTACAGTCCTGGCTGCAACAGGCATGTCTTTTATCCATGAGGTGATTGTATATAATCCCCTTCAATAAATGGTTTTCCATGTTTAGCAATACACAAAGAAACTTTGTAGCTGGCCTCAGTTGGATGATCTTTGTTTGCACTCAGATTCTTCATAACGCTGCTTTGTTTTTCATAGTGGGATACTGCCTTCTTAATTGCTTCAGCCTTGTCTGCATTGTCCTAATGTCTTCTCATGCTTCATTACATAATGTCTCTTTACACTTGATGCCCGACAAGCAACATTCTCACAACACAGAGCACACACACAGCTCGTCCAAGAGGGTTGAAACGATCAAAATTCTAATTTGGCTTTCTTGGCAGCTGCCATTGTGGGTCCTTAATTATGAGCAGCTTCTGTCACCGCAGCTGAAAGAGCACTGACCGTGCCTGACAGTCTGAGTAACCAGTGTTACCGCCTAGAAATAGAAACTCCCGCAAATAAAAAATTGGGTAGATTGAATACTAACAGAAAGATGATTGTGTAATTTTAATAAAAGTGATGTAAATACATATTCAAAATAATAAAACATATAATTATACTCCAACTACTTAGATACAGAAAATATCCAAGAAAAAGAACAAAAGGCAAGCTACCTATTTTGTGTAGCTAAAATGGCAACACCGGATCTCACGCAACACAGGCTACAGCTGGGCAGACGAGTACTGGACGCGTGAGTTCTAACTCTAGCTCATGTCATAGTTTGTTTATTTCAAATGGTGCTCTTATTTTTTATTTTGTTATAAGTTTTTAAAATCACTTGGCGTGCCAAGGTCAACCCTCTCACATGCCAACTTTGGCACGCATGCCAGGAGTTGCCGACTCCTGCTGTACAGTATTATGAGCATTCAATACTAAATATCCGTTGTTACCAATGATAGAGTTTAGATTTCATCAACCACCTCAAAATCCCATCAGTGTGTTGTATTAATACAAAATGGCTCTGACATACTCTGTAATGCACAATATCATAGAAACTTTTCTTCGTTCTTTTTAAACACATTCATGGTGCAATTCAAATTATGTGCAGTAAATTTTTTTCACTGAAAATTTGCTGTTAAGTAGAGGAGAGTTGAGTTACCATGATCTGAGCTGACATAATTAGCCGCGTCACTGGTCACTACAGATGGCCCTCGGCCGCCTTCGTACTGGTCAGCAGAGAGAATCAAATCACCGGAGCCAGAAGATAGAGGATTCTGTTAAATATCACATTTTATAAAGGTTGGAATAGACTTTCATGAAACACCATACACGAATTAGTAACTTTTAAAATATTCACATGTGGAAGTGAAAAAATATCTAACGTTCTAAATATGTTAAACGGTCTCAAAATATCATCGGATGTTCTAAAAATATCAAAAGTTTTAAAACTGCGTAAGGGACAAATACAATATTACATGAATATCAGTGACACTTTGAGGAGAAAATATAAAACAACTAATTTCAGAAACTTAAAAGAATGCTTACCTGGTTGACTATGTGAACTGTGGTTGGTCCAACAGGAACTGAAACAGCTGTACCTCCACTCTGACTAGTGAGGGGACCAAGTTCAGCCCCACTAGTTCCATCTCCGCCAACCAGAACTGTACTGTTACCTTGGAATAAAAGAAAAATATAACTGGTTAAGCTATGAATTAGAAGAAGTTTACAAGTCATGAATCCACACAACACAGTATAATTAAAAGTTTTTATTTTAATTAATGCTTTTCATACTAATATTTGACACATCATTGCTATATACCAACACAGTACTGTATCAAATTCATCCCAAATTTAGTGGGCCTGGAAATTCTACATTTCAAGAATTCTCGGGTGCATTAAAACCTGCAGAATTAAAAGAAAAATAATGTAATGCTCATGAGATGTGAGTCAGTGTAGGAAGGTTTTTATTACTGTTCTGTAGAACAAGGTGGAACACGTAGGATGTGGATGTAAATATTATGAGTGGGATAAATGAAAAATAAGGAGGGACAGTATGAAAGATGTACTGTACTATAGTGCGTTATTTCCCAGCTGAGAAGAGATGCCCCGCCCCCTCCTCAAGAGTAACAGCTGATTAGCTGTTGCAAATGTGTCCGATTTTGTCCCGAAGTAATGATGTAATTCTAAATGAGTATATTCATAATCGATGGGAAGACCATTTCTGACCATAAAGATATTTAGCTTAATTATATAAAGATACATATACATTCATTAATTCAAACATGAGTACAAAGGAAGTTTATCAGAAATATTGTATATTAATTAACTGTAAAACTCTGGTTGCAAATTTACGCTTTCGGAGGATGCATTTAATATATATTTATTTTTACCCACAATAAGGCATACTAAGACAAATTACATATCAGTAATACTACCAGTGGCGTGTCGTGAGAAAATGCTAGGGTAAGCAAATGACGCTTTCTTACTTGTAAAGTCACGAGATCTAAAAGAATTCTTTAGTAGATCACATACAGTCTGTATGTGATCTACTAAAGAATTCTTTTAGATCTCGTGACTTTACAAGTAAGAAGGCGTCATTTGCTTACCCTAGCATTTTTCTCACGACACGCCACTGAATACTACATATGCAAAAACTAACATTTTAAAAGAATGTTTGAAGTCCTACTCTGAGACATCTAACTAGCAAGTAATTAAAATCTATCAGTATTTGTTCAGGTTATTGTTTTCACAAATGCCGGGTGGACGAGGAAAAAAAAATCAAGCTTGCCGATGTTCCAATCCTGGGATGGCAAGAAACAATAAGGGAAGATCAGAAGCAGCATTAAGTAAGGTGAAGTGGAGGAAGTGTGTTAGTCCCTGTTGCCATAAAGTGATAATGTTTAACACCACACATATACATACATACATACACACGTACATACAAACATACACACACTTCCTTCAGCCTTCATAGGGTAAGGACGTGTGTAGTCGGCGCTGCCCGTGGTCTCTTGACCATGGAGACAGCTGCCAGCCTGGTCTGTCGGGCCCTTCCCCTTCCCCATCTCCTCCTCCCCATCTGGATTTATCAACATCCTCCCACCAACAGTACAGTGCAAAGATTGTTGATCAACCCACAACTGATATACAAAAGTGACAAATTCAACTCGAACAGGAGAAACAACTGTTAGAGCGACAATCAGTACTTAGCGGCCAATGTTGACCTGACACCTTGACCTCACGCACACAGCCCACGGTACACTTGCCACCCCCAACACTGGATGAGAAGCCAAGAAACACTCCAAACTACACCAGGAGAGAAATGAGGACTCCCTACTCCATCCAGGTGAGAAAATATGAATTCCTAACTTCATCACATGAGGAACAAGAACCATCTCCAACACCCTGTGTGAGCTGGAGGACCTACCCGGACCATGTGGTACATCTGCAGCTGCAGCGAGGTAGCGGCTTAGCAACCAGGTACAACGGCCATCAAGACAGTGGGAAGGACTTTGTTGGCGCCGACATCAGGTCACAAGAATGTCTACAGACCAGCTCCCACAGTACCAGATCTAAAGTTAATCTATATTTTGACTGTTTCGTATGTTTTTGTATTGAAAGCTTTTGTCAATCAAGTCACTCAATCCACGATTTCACCATATGTAACTTATCATCTCTGTTCATTGTATATTTTCAGCCTTCGAGCTGCCATGTTTTCTTAATAAACCAACAATTATTATTACATATACATTATGTACAAAAAAACACACACACACACACACACACACAAACAAACAAAACAAACAACACACACAAACAAACATACAAACAAACACACACACACACACACACACACATGTACAAAACACACCTACCTCATTGAGGGATGCACCCATCTCTGAATTACTGTACTGTGTCCCTAAGAGTGCCTTAAATCTTTTAGTTTCACCCTAAAGATCACTTTTTATATGAAGTGCCACACATAATAGGTAGAAAACTACTTAATCAAACACACAAGAATGAGAGATATATTATACACAAGATATAAACAATTATTCCTTACTTTGCATCGTGTTGTTTCATATGACGACGTAAGGCAAATTTTGTGTTGAACTTTTTCTCACAAGCTGGGCAGGTAAATGCACGTGGTCGTCTGTGTATAGTCTGGACATGATTTCTCTGGACGGAGCGAGTTTTGAACGAGGCTCCACACACTTCACACAGGAAGGATCGCTCTTCAGAGTGGGTGGCCTGTGAAGAACACCAAACCTTCTGAGTAAAGTTCATCAATTAAATATCACACGAGTTATGTTCTACTAAAAATGTTAAATCCACCATTATATCCTTTAAGCCTTCTTCTGTTGATAATGTTAGTCAGCCCTTTACAAAAATCATAATACATAAATCAAAAGAATACATAATGTCAAACTTGCCAGGATAAAAAGATGCAATAAACCTAAGATATTTATATGTATAATTTGATCAAGTCATAAAATTGAGAACTCACCATGTGTTCTTTGAGATAAGTAGCAGACCTGCAGACCTTCTGGCATATATGGCAGACAAACCCATATGGTCCCACCTGCCCACTGCTGCCTTCTGCTAGGTTTTGATAGTGTGACACATAGTGTTGCCTGAACACAATATAAAATATTTGTAGTCAACTAATATAACATAGTAGTGTACAAAAGTGTAAGATAGATAAATAAATACAAAAATATATTCAGCTTGCCAGTCGGAGGAAGCATAGCACATCCCGTAAGATGTTGTCTAACCCCAAAATTAGAAAACCAGTTTCATTTGAATTATCTGGTAAAATTCACCAACAAAAAATGTTTAGTATCACACTTACTTTAAGGCATCTTGTCTCTTGAAAGCTTTGCCACAGATATCACACAAGAATGGCCTGCAGTTCTGGTGTACATTTTTTATGTGCCTTAAAAAGTGTTCCCGTCTCATGGTCTTGTACGAGCACTGGCAAATGAGAAAAGCAATGTGTTAACAAAGTAGAGTATTACTATTACTTCACAAACCTTTTTCTTCTGGGATGAACTCAAAACACCAAATATAATCCAGCTTTATCAGGCATAAAACTCCCCATGATAAACTTCTGGCAAAGTATATACCAGTTCCCCTTGATCCATCGAACACAACAAAGGCAGATGAGTAAAGTAAGATGGAAAGATACAAGCATATTCCAAAGCCCAGCTGTATACAGTAAAGCCTCGAATAACGACGGTAATGTGTCCTCCAATATTGCAGTGCAAGGTGAATCATTGTATCGTGAATCATTAATAACCAATAAAATAAAGAAATAAGTAGATACCTTCCCCAGTGTGACCTTTTCATATCTTTTGTGTGGCTTTTTACCCTCTTTTCCCCCAAAACAATACAATTAATGAAAAATGACAACTATATTCTTTAAGCAATGTTTCTGAATGCACCTTACACAATATAAATGAATAATAATATGGTCACACAAGAGGAGATGGGACGCCATTGTTTTCGTTAGTGTTTACAGCCAGGATTCCGGGAAGATGGTTCTACATAAGAAAATGAAGAAAATAAGACTCTGGTTGTAGCTGTAGTAAAATTAATGTACCAAAAAATGAATACAGTGATCCCTCGGTTAACGAATTACCTTCCATAAGATTCTTCACTTCGGTTAACGAGCAATCCCTCGATTAACGAATTCCTTACGAGCGCCCCTCAACATGTTTTCGCCTGTTAACCAGCTGTAGTATTAGTCCGCCAATACAGTAATCGGTTCTAGGACTTAAATTCCTTACCATTTTAGTAAACATCAAGAAGGTTGTACTATTCAATAATTTTAAAAGTTTTATATTAAATTTTTTAGTCATTTTAACAATTATTGAACATAATTGAAGGTAATGAAACTAGTTTTATGTGCGCCAAACAGCCACTCAACACATCAAGCTTGGCGTCAGTTTGTTTACAGGTTCAGAGAAAGGAACATCTTGTTTGAGACTTCAACATAAACGCTTTTTTTCTGTGTTTCCAGTCAAATTATTGGTCATTTTGAAATATATTTTACATATTGACAATATATAATGCAGTGCAGTGTTGATTTAAAGAAAATAATCTTGAATTACACCAAGAGAACAAAAATTTTATGGGTGAAATGGTGCCATGGGGTGACTTCTCTTCCACCCCAATGCCTTCTCTTCTCCTTTCTTCTCCACCCCCATTCTAATTCCTATCATCATCATCCAGGAGCCTTCTACATACACACCTCAAAGTAAGTGTACTTTACTGCCTTTTTTTTTATTTTAGGCAATTTTCGGTGAGCTGGAACCAATTACCCAAAAACCCATTGAAACAATGGTTTCGGTTAACGAGCAACCTTCTGGAACGAATTGTGCTCGTTAACCGAGGGACCACTGTACTCAAATTCATGTTGACAGATCGGTCAACATTATAGAATCTAGTCTCATTAAACATACTGAATCTGTCAACATGAATTTGAGTAATGGCATGTACAAATTGCTCCATATAATAGCCACAGACCTCTCACCTTTTTCATATCGTTTTAACACATCTAGTTTCTCGGCTAAGCTTATACACTTTCTATTAGCTTTTGAACCAGCACTACCATCACTTGCTCATGTTGAATAGGGATGCAAAAATGCTGTAAAAAACCTTAAAATTTTTTTCCTTTTCCTGTTCAGATGCGTGAAAACAAAAGGCCCGCCAGCTGCGACTGTTTATACTAGTGATGCTGGCGTCACCACTCACAGGCCCGGCAGCCAACGTGTTTTGTTTTTTAATACATTTATCGGGATTTAGTTATTATTAATATAAAAATGTAATTTTACTTTATTTTTATAACATTTTCATCGTAAATACAAAGAAAATAATGGTGTAAATTGAATTGGGTCCTAAATTAACCAAGGTCTTAAATATGAATCGTAATTAGTAGAACCATCGTTATCGGAGGTTTTCCTGTATACCAGTACAGTTCTGTGCTCTTATAGTTTGCTAATTAAATATCACTACAGTACTGTATTCTACAATACCGTATATAAATTCTGATTACATAAGGAACATTTCACCTGAGTAAATGTTAAGAAAACACCCCAAGTTTACATTCTTATGCTATGGTCAACATCATAGTGCTAAAGCAAAATATGTAAAATAATAGAAAATTCAAGTACAATATTACAGTACTGTACAAACACATACAGTATTTTACAGCATATAAGACACACTTTTGTCTGAAAAATGGCTACAAAAATCAGCCTGTGTTCTATATGTGAAGCTGCAGTCTCCTGTAAGCTAATGAATCCCCCAGTTGGTGTCTCCAGTAGGCTTAATTCTACCTAACACAACACCACAATAAAAAATATTATTGCTTACTTAAACACATTAATATTATTTTTAATTAATTAAAAAATAATTACTGTAAATATAAAAGCTCAATTCATAACTACTGTATTGATGACGATAACCTGAGGCGAATAATATCTATACAGCAGACACCCAACTCTTCAGAGGCAGCTAAGCAGTAACCATTTCTGAACTGCTACAAGCATTACAATCTACTAATTCCATACCTGCAACATTTATTTTTCCATCTACTAATACCTGATACAAATGAAGATTAATAGATAACATTCTTTTCACATTTACATCTGTTAACATCACTGGCAGCCTTGTAGCCAGGTTAAACTTATCACTGTAACCAGACTACTGGGCCAGGCTGTTGTTTTTCAATCCGTATTTTTGTGTAGACATACGTAACTTTCTTCATTTATTTTTACCGATATACAGTACATGCACACACCATCCTACTAACATATTGTGAAAAAAGTAAAAGAAATAATTGTCCTAAGGGCAAACACATAAAGGGAATACAGTACTGTACACTTCTTTGAACGTGAGTTAGCTGGCTCAGTGGGGTAGGGGGAGGAGGGTGAGGCATATGGGAGGGAGCATTGCTATGGAATCAGCGGAGGTAGCATCCTAGCTGATCTCCGTTGCTATGGTAAAGCAGGGAGTATATGCAAATGGCGACTGTGTTACACTTTCATTTGGCTTTTATTTACTGGTTTGGCAATACAATATTTTTGGTTGAAACTTATTTATTGGTATTGTTTTTATTTATTCCTCACATTTACTGGTACTGTTTATATTATCTAAAAAACCTATGGCTATAGGAGGAAAATCCACAGAAAAGTTTTCCCTAAATACTCCCTGCGTCTTATATGCCATAAAATGTGAGGGATCACCTGAAGATTAGACACCTCAGCTTATTTCACCATAAGATTAACTTTCCTAACTTTATATGGGAGAGTTCAGTTAGGTTAGCTTTTTTTTTCTTTTACGGGGAATAGCACACCAGGGTACAGGTCATCGACCCTTAATGGGTCTTGGGGGGGCCAAAAAAGTAAAACGAAATTAAAAGTACAAGAGAAAAAGACTACTGTATATTAATCTACACCACGAAGATGCCAGAAAACCAGCTTTTTGAAGTGAGACATTGTATGAGTATGGAAACATTAGGATGGATAATCTTCAGATGATATAAACTGAGGTATCTAATCTTCAGTTGATTCAGTTTGTATGCTTTGTTACCTGAGGACAAGTATGCATAACGACCATCTTGGAGGGTGAATGTGTACGACGATGCCTCTGGTAGGCATAGTGCCAACTTGTTTTGTATTCGCACTCATCACACTCAAACACACTACCAATCTGTGAGATAAAGTAAATGATTATTGTACTGTACCTACATAATAATTTTGACGACAAATATTTCACTACAAACCTTAAAATGAAGTACAGTACAGTACTACAAGATTCCAACTACAGTATTTTCTCTTTAACTTCAAACTCTTTTTGTGACAGCAAAACCAACTACTGTACTATACTGGGCATTAGTGTGGGTATTTCTGTATGTAAATGCAAATATGGTGGTACTGTACAGCTGTGGACAAAAGTTTGCTCCCTGTGGTAAAAGTGAGTCACGGGATGAATATCTGAACTTACTTACCCTGACTGCGGTTGTGCTGTTTTATCTCATATGGGGTCGACACTGCCTCATTTTAGGAGGAAGTGAACTTTTGACCCCAACTGTATAAGTAGTAATGATAATGTTTGGAAAGGTTTTTCTTTTAATTTAGGTTAAATGAGATACACAATTCATCTACCATACTCACAGGTTTTGGTTGTTTTGATGTCTGGTGTTTAGCTCGCATATGTTTAGTGAGCAGTTTTTGATCATCACAAGTATAAGCACAGAGATGACAGTTGAGAACCTGTTGTGCGTGTGACATCTTGTGGCGGCGAAGGTGACTGGCACGGATTGATACAAAGTTGCACTCATTACAGCGATACAATGCCAAACCCTGCAGAGGTAAAATAATTTCATGCTAATAAATAAAATACTGTACATCCACTTCTACACACAGTATGTCAATGGATTTAGGAGATGACCTTCTAAAGATAAAGACCATCTGTACACGCAGGTAAACTTGAGGTTTTCATAAATAAAATTGCGTTTGATCTAAATTATCGCATTAGGGTTCTCATACGTAAATTTTATGTTTGAGTATGAACACTAGACACGCAAGATGTATACCTGTATTTGTCAGCGTGATTTGGCAACTATTTCTCGTGCCTCACAGTTATTTCATTTATTCATAACAGTTTTGATCCATGCCTTGTTTTACTAGCAAGGATGGAAGGGTGGGAAAACTTAAAATGTGCAAGGAGATTGCACCACGTGGTGATAGTGTGGTGCCTGGACGAGCTCATCAGAACACAAAATTTACACAACTATGTACAGGTTGACAAACCTTTATCCCTTTATCTGAAATTCCGAAAACCGAAAAGCTCTGAAAACCTTAAGTTTTTTTGTGGAGCAATTTTTTTTTTTTTTTTTTTTAACAGGGATTAGCCCACCCAGGCATAGATCACTGACCCACATCGGGGCCTGGGGGGCGAAAATGTAATCCAGTAGTAACACTAATTATAATAATTATAATAATAATAATAATAATAATAATAATAATAATAATAATTATTCATAGTAAATAAAGTTTTTAATTAAAAAATACACCAAAATAAAATAATAATGATAACAATAATACTGTATTAATAAAATAATAATAATAATAAAGAAATACAAGAATGGTAAAAGATAAAAAGTGAAAAACACAACCTAGACCTATGAATAATTATTATTATTATTATTATTATTATTATTATTATTATTATTATTATTATTATTATATTTTCGCCCCCCAGGCCCCAATGTGGATCAGTGACTTGTGCCCGGATGGGCTAAAAAAAAAAAAAAAAAAAAAAAAATTCTGAAAACCGAAAAATTCCGAAATGCCTCTGGCCCCAAGGATTTCGGATAAGGGATTGTCAACGTGTACAGGTATTACCTAGCGAAATATTCATTTTTTCACAACATTTCCTCTTTCACTGTTTTGTCCTAAATATATACATTTTATAATAGAACGAGGTTCATATTGCAATTACATGAAATAACAAAGGTATAAAGAGATGCATAAACATTTTTATTAAGAGGAAAAAAAAATTGTGTTCTACTTGTGCTTACATATAGGAATACTTATTTTACCATGATTACTTAAATAAAACTGTTTGTAGATAATTTATTACAATGCTAATGCAACAAATCCCACTTTTTTTATCTCAAATACAACAAGCACGCTATGACTCATTACATACAATTATATCCCATGTGGTGCAGTCAAGAGCGATAAGGTGAGTAACAGGCTAGACCTCAACCGACTCGTGGGAGAGCACCTACCCAAACCAAGGGTGTTAACTTCAATAGGTACAATGATGTGGCAACTTTATAAACAATTATTCTGTAAAGATGTACTTACTCCAAGGACCAACATCCCTGAGCTCAGCCATTATATACTGCATATACTAGATTTTTTTATACACAAAAATGACTAATAATATCAAATACCCTGTACTGTATGCAAGAGTTCTGATGTACCTCCATTTAGCTTTTTGATAATAAAACACCGTACTCCAGTATTTACAAACTCTGTCTAGGAATAACATTAAAAGTATCTGACTAACCCTTTGTGAACATGTCCCCCACTGAGTTGAATAAAATCATTTGGCATCAGTAAAATAATTATAAAAGTGGCATCCCCATAGTGAAAGGGTTAAGTAGTCAATGGTTTGATATTGTGGCATTTAGAATTTGGAAAATCATGAGTTTTTGAAAAAGAATTACAGTGTTGTAGTCATCTCAGTCTTGTCAACATAGCCTGTAGACCCTGCAGGCAGCTAGTAGCCCTACACAACTTGCCTGGCAGTGTTTGTTTGAGTAGTTTTACCAACAAGCATGGATGTGCTGATCCTTCATTAGTCCCTGAGCAATGTTCCTATTCTGTACTACGAAGAACTGTATTTACGACCTAGTTTTAGAGATGAAGATTAGATACACCAGCTTTTTTCAACTGGAGGGGTTAGGTTTGGTTAAGTTAGATTAGTCATTCTTTTTTTTATCATTTCACTAACTATAATTTTACTAGCCATTTGGGCAGTTGGTCTGTTCTTTGTTAGTTTACCATTATAACCTTTATTGTCCAGTGTTAGTATAAGAGGAAACCTGAGATGTTATCCTGCCACAAGGGAATGATCACTCACACATTTTTGTTCACTAAGATTACAAGGTAGTAGGTGTGATTATAAGGGAAGCCATCCAACAAGGGGTGAATTCTTCACCAGAAATTTAAGTGTGAGAGTCTGGTGGTTGGCATCCTCCTCCCCCCTCCACACCAAACAAGGAGACCTATGTATGAATGTAGCAGAGTGGGACTTTAAAGGGCCCTTGACACTTAAGCCCTGCCACCAAGGCACAGATGCAATTATCATAATAATAATAAAAATTATTATTATTATTATTAAGCTGCTGATTGGAATTACATCACTAAGAGATATTCTTGCAGAGTCTGGACATCCCACCATTCAGCAAGATGCAACGGTGACAGTTGTCAAGCACCGCGTGTCTCACAGGTGTGATATGTAAAATGAAGAAGAAAGTGAATAGGTGTAGGGAATCAGGGGGTTAAAACCCCAACATGACCAGGAAGTTTGTTGACATGCAATTACTGCAGGGCGACGTCTGATGTACATTGTGTGGGTCTGGGCTATACAGCACTTAGGATGGTGCAGAATGAGGTAAAGCTTGAAGGCTGTTGCTGGTACTGCCCTGACTGCGTAACCAAAGTAAGCGAGGCTATTGCAGATCACAAGGGAATGAGAAACTTAGAGACAAAAATAGGGGAAGCTAAATCTGTGTTGGTTGTCAAGCTGGAGCAGGTTGGGGAAGAGATCCTCACTAAGACTGAGGAAGTAGCTGACAGAACAGAGGAAGTTGTTAAGAAGAGCTATGCTCAGGTTGCAGCAGGGTCACAGAAGGTGACGGAGAGTAATGCAGAATCTGAACAGGTCATCCAGCAGCTAGGGACTCTGCAGAAGTCTATTGAAGAGTTGACAACTAATAGTTCAGTGCGTAGGAACAACATAATAGTGTTTGGAGTCCCCGGGAGCCAGTCGGAGGAAGCTGAAACTAGGAACACACACAATATGTTAAAATTTCAGAACATTTGTGATGAGGCTCTGAAATTATCAGCTCCCACTCAGGACATGAGGAGGCTAGGATAAAGGCAGGAGGACAAGGCCCACCCCTTCAGGATCACACTAGTGAGTGAGGGTAAGAAATGGGAGGTTATTCAGCATGCAAAAAACTTTGCAAGGAGCGATACATTTCAGGGTATATTCATACACCCAGATTACACGATAATACAGAGGGAACAGCACAAAATCTTCTGGAGTCACTGAAGCAGAGGAGGGAGGAGTCAAGGAGTGAGGTGGAAGGAAATGGGCTATACACAAGGGGAAGGTAGTGGAGGCAAGTTTACCAGTAAAGAGCCAGGGGACAGCGGGACAACCCCCACCAGCTTCACCTCCCACCCAGGGGGAGGAGAGCTCCATGTAAACAATGTCATCTCTGACCACACCCCACATAACACAAGGGATACAGTAAACTAGGCAGCTGCTGAGAATGGAGGAGGGCCGGAGTCACTACCAAGACCAGAGACATTACCAAGGACAATTTCCGGCTTGAAAGTCATGTACACTAATACTGACACATTCCTGGACAAGTGAGCAGTTTGAACACTACCTTGGTACATCAACCATATATAGGTGTTGTGTTACTGTTGTACAAAAACAGGAGAATTGAACCAGAGGACCGTGAGTTCAATCTACACGGATATGACTCATTTAAGAAACCTTTTTCAAGACACTTGCAAGAGGGATGTGGTTATCTATGCAAGACTAGACCTTAGAGCCAGCCAGGCGAGGGTACAGGGAGAAGATGTTTTTGAAGAATCCAAAACGGGATTCGGGAGTGTCCTAGCGAGGATCTGAGACTTTCTCCATGATCGCAAGCAGTGTGTGGTGACTAATGGCGCGAAATCGTCATGTGTACCCGTCACAGGTGGGGTATCACAGGGCAATGTATTGGGCCCGTTGTTGTTTGTTTGCTTCATAAATGACATGCTTGAAGCTGTACATTCCTCCATACAAATGTTTGTGGATGATGCCAAGTTATTTATGGAAATTAAGAACCAAACAGACTGTGAAGAGCTGCAGAAAGATCTCTGTGAGCTTCAAGAATGGTCGAAGAAATGGCTGCTGAAATTCAATGTCGCCAAGTGCTAGAGGATGCACCTCTGACGTACCAACCGTAAGGAGGTGCATCTTATGTCCCAACAGGACGGAGAAACTGCATTAATTGAGTCTGATTGTGCAAAGGACCAAGGTGTGTATGTTGACAAGGAATTTAAATTCTTGAGCCATTGTGAAAAGAAGGTGAATCAAACAACGAAACTAGTAGGTCATATAAGAAGGTCGTTTAGAAATCTGGATGGTTCGTCCCTCGTCACGATCTTCAAGAGTGAAGTGCTTCCCCATCTGGAGTACTGTCACCCCGTGTGGTCCCCGAGGTATGCTAGAGACTGTCAGTTGATTGAAAATTTACAAAGGAGGGCCACCAGACTGGTGTCTGCTTTATGGAACCTCAGCTTCCCAGAAAGATTAGTGCACTGAGTATAAACATCACAGAGTGCACTACTCTGTCGAATGTACATATCTGGAGCTGGCAGACGTACGCCCTACAAGGGGCCAAAGTTCAATGTTGAATAAGCCACAAGTTCAAAAAACAGTGAGTGCAAACTTTTTTGGAGTGAGAATTGTGAACTCTTGAAACAATCTGACAGAGAGCTTTATGACGACACCGAGTGTGAGCTGTTTCTAGACCAGACTTGACCAACAGGTTCAGATACATTCAGGAGCCAGTGCATGCCCAGTACTTGCCAACAGTGCGTAACAGAGACGTCACCAACCGCCCGAGTGGTTAACAAGCCGATCAATGGTGAAGAAGATAAAAGTAAAAAGGAAAAGTAACACACTTCCCACATGTGTCCTAGGCCAGGATTCAAACCCATGATACAGTAGGAAGAGATATGCACATTACCAACACACCACCAACAAGGTTAGGTTAGGTTGGATTAGGTTAGGTCAGGACTGCATAATTATACTCACTCGCTCGTCCAGGGCGAATGGAAAATCCTTAGGGCAAGTCAGGGGAGTGATAATTTTGCCTCATGAGAGTGAAGGACACCTCATAACTAGACCCATCAATTTTGAAAGATTTTATATTTAACATAATTAGTATTGAACAGATCTCTAATTTACCCCCAGCTTCTCTACAGTGCTATTAGAAAAATATAGTGTGTAGTATAATGAAAATGGAGAATAATTACACGTGCATATTATGACATCAGTCATCAGCTAACTCACCGAGGGGGAGGCACCATCACCATGCAGGAAAAGATGGTAGCAAAGTGGCCATTTAGTACAGTAATTAATATTATGAATACCAATAAAAAAGGTATATTAATCAGGAAATTTTTAATAAGAAAAACTTGATTTACAAGTGATGCCAAGAGTTTGTGCCTAAGTTTGACTCGTCAACTGACAGACCAGGCTTTGGCAGTTCAACACATAGTGTGCGACAAAAAACGGCAAGATTTTAGATAAAACTACGAAAACAACGTTGATGGTAATCCTTCTGGGAGGAGAGCAGAGGTCCAGTGCTTATTGCATCTTTCATATCATAGTCACACTCACAAACATACAACTGTTGTACTCCAATAAAGACTTAAAATGCATCTATTTTGTGCAGCAATGTTTGTTCTGCCACTGTGAATATTTAAGATATTACCACAAGATTTTTAAACCAATTACGGGCTAGTGGAAATTTCTGTGGGTGAGCGGATTTGGAAATTTACTAGCCCAGTGGGCTAGAGGATAATTTTAAGATGAAGCAGGCCTGTTAGGTTTTGTTGGGTTAGCAATAGGATGATTAGTCATCAGATGCAAGAAGCAGGTATGATTAATCTTTAGCTATTATATAAACTACAATTAACACTCAGAAAATTATCAACAAAATATATTCATAATAAGGAGTGTGACTTACCTTGTCATGAAGCTGCATATGTTTTACAAAGTGGTTCTCCCTCATGCTCTTATATGAACAGATCTTGCACGAGAACTTGAATTTCACTTGATCATTAGAAGGATCCTTTGACATGTCATCCTCAAGACCTTCTGACATACTAATCTCAGGTTCACAGATCATTTTGTCATTTTCTAAGTCCATATCTATTCCTTCCTCTTCTTCCTCCTCTTCATCTTTTTCCTTTGCTTTGTTCACATAAATGGTATCATCAATATTTTCTTTATTGTTCGAGCCTTCCACAACTTCACATCCTCCAAACTGAACTCCTCTGTCATCCAGGGGTTTTAATACAGTATCTTTTGTTATAGAGGATAAACTAAAGCCATCATCAAGTTTATTAACCACCACACTCTTGGTATCACTCATACTGCCTCTATCAATGGTCCTCACCTCAGCATCACCAATATTACTTACAATAATTGTTTCATCACATTCTGGTTCAGTCTTCAAATTCCCAAACAGTATTTCAACACTTGGGCTCTGTTCTTGAGAGTTCACACAATTCCTTCTGGACACTGTATCTTCACTCTCTTTCTCAATTTTAATATTACACTCACCATTTCTATCTGTCTCATGGTGCAACTGTTTGTTATATATTCTCTCACTATAACTCCTTAGTATGTGATGTTTGTCAGAATTTCTCACTTTAGAATGAGACAGCATATGTTTACGTGGTCGTCTACGCTGTGGGCGAGGCTCTGGCGAAAGAGGACGGGAGAGGACGGAATGATATCGGCGGGCAGAACGGTCCAGACCCAAGGAGGAAGCATAACGAGCAGTGGGAGGCGAGGGAATTAACTCACACATCACTCCCACTTCTCGTGTGCCAGCAGGAACACTCAACTGTGGTAAAACTGGTAATCCTCTGATTTTTTGTATTTCTAAGAGAATCATATCCTGAAAAAATAAATCAAAATCATTATAATTTTCAGTAGACAACATGTAACAAGGAAAGATGAGAGTAACTTTACAATAAACCTCTATTTATGCAGGATGAATGACTAAAAGTATGACTGGTAAACTAAAAGCCAACTGTCTTCTACAATGTTCTTATACAATGAAGAAATTGTACAGAACAAGATGTTTTCATTTTACAAACTCACAATCACAAAAAACTCAATAAATAAGTAATTAGCCTTACCCTGGAGGCCAAGAGCTCCACCAAAGAGCCTGACACAACTATTTGATCTGGACTGGTTTCTGTAACTCTGACACCTCTGGCGATGCCCTGTTGGTGGAGGCTGATGAATATACCACTGTCCGAGGCAAGTCCTAATTCTGATATTAGGTCTTTGTGTAGTGTAGCTTCCATCTTTTCAAAAGGCTGAGACAAGGAGAGAGAGAGAGAGATCTGTGAGCATGTGGTGATAAAATATTGAAACAGTAAAAAAAAAAAAAAAATCACCTCTTTTTGTGACACCACAGTTACCAATTGGTGACCTGTGACTTAATGTGGTGCCTTAAAATCTATATTAATGAAAATCTCAGTAACTGTGGAGCAAAGAAATCTACTCTGAACTATGTTAATTTCAGGGAGGTGATGAAGCTTGCTTATTAAGAGCTCACCTCGACTACATCGTCACAATAAGCTAATTTTCTGGCCCATCTGTTAAAACTTGTGCAAAAATTTTCCTTCTTCTGGTCTTCTACATCATCTTTATTCTCCACCTGTTTATATCCTAAATGTTCTCTTCTTGCTTCTTGAGTATCATCACCTCTCCTCTTACTGTCAGCGATCATCTTAGTATTTGTTCCATTATCACAACCAGCTGTGGAACACTCAACGTCTTCCTTGGGTTCAGGCTTTTTGGGGATGTCTCTATTTAATTCATTGGCGTGTATAGTGTGTGCCGTCTCCTCATGTGCCAGGACACTGATCTCAATGTTTTCCAGTGACTCTGAACCTAAAAGAAAAAGGAATACAGTATATGATGAAAGAAACTATGACACACAATGAAAGAGACAAATAATAGTAAGCAGCTTTACTTTTACCATACATGTAAACCATCATTTATCTTTCCTTGTAACCTTAATAACTTGGGGCAATAATGAGACGACATGTGTATACAGTACCACCAAAGCACCCAAGTTTGGGTCAGGGAATACTGATGGTAAATTGGTTGCTGTGTAATTTGAAAATCAGGTTACTTCCCTGCAGCAACCTTTACAGGTCATCCTTTTTTGTGAGGTCAATAATTGTTGAAGGGGAAGTAAGCTAAGTTTCACATTAGACCTCAGCTGCCTTAGTTGAGGCCGAGCCAAACCTCAATACTCTAAAGGTGCATCATACATAAGTTGTTCCTCAACAGTTTAGCTAAAAATGGGTTTTCAGGATTAAATAATTATTTTTATTTTGTCAATCTCTCCTAAGGTCAACATCTCAATTTTTTTGACTGAAAGAAATATTTAATTTACTATTCCACCACTTATCAGCTTACTAGCTGTTCTGGCGGCTATCTGTTCTTTGTTATGAACATTATTGTCCGGTGTAAGTACAGGAGGAAACCAGAGTACCCGGAGGAAACCTGAGATGTTTGGTAGTGTCACATTGGATAACACACTTCTCACTTCTCAGGTGTGTCCAGACATGGAATTGTTTACTGGTGTAAACAAGTAATCTAGCTAGGAAAACAATATTTACCAATAGTTGCGAGTGGCTCAGATGCATCAGCTATTGTGATCACGGTACCACCAAGGTGATCCACAGAACCTTCCACTTGGTCTCCAGACAGACTGATGAAGTTTGTAATATTTTCAGCATTGGTCCTGGGTCTTTCTGTTCCTCCACCATCCCCTGCAATGCCCTCTGTGACATTTGGTGCAACAGAACAACAACTTGTCGCTTCATCCTATATTTAAGAAAAGGACAAAGGAAAATAAGTCTTAACAAAAAACTGTCACATACAGTAGTATTGTACACTATCCAAGCTAGAAGTTAAACTGACTATCTAATGCCTTAATAGCCACTACAGTATGTGTAATCTTTCACTCACACCTTCTCCAGCAATCAGTAAATCACATACAGTAATATCTCCGTTAGCCGAAATCCCTCAAACCCAGAACTCTCCGATAGCCGGAATTTAAATTTTCTCGGAAATTCGTTCCCAAGGTCGGAATCTTCCAGAAAATTCAGGCATTGGGAACGATTTTCTAAGGGGCACATTTTCCGGAAAATTCTGAGAACATTTTCCCGATACCCGGAAAATTCTGGGGATGGGGAATATTTTTCCGGGTTCGAGAGATGATGTAATGGGCAATTTCTGGAACACCCAAGAAAATTTTTCCATTACCCGGAAAATTCTGGGGATGATGGATTTTTTTACGGCTTTAAGAGAATCATCTCGTTACCCAGAAATCTCTCATTCCCGGAAGTGCTCTGCACCAATTGCTCCGGCTAATGGAGATATCACTGCATTTTAAAGGAAGTGAAGTTGATTATTTCAATAATACAGTACAGTAATATCATTTTTAAAGTATGTATGGTCACAATATAAAGGAATCATCAAATTAACCCCTATGCCTGGTTGACGTTCCGGAACGCGTGCCATTTCCCGCCACTGTTTAAATGCCCAGCACTGGTTATCAGGTTCCCGTGTGACTATTTGCCTGTCACGTCACGCCACACCTTGGCCACAGGGAAGCTTCCTGAACATAATTACCTACTTTTGTTTGTTTCATTTTCATTGTTTGTCCATTTTATCAGGTTGTATCAAAGTAATATTGCTAAAAGTAGTGTAGTTGTATTGTAGTCCAGTATTACTGGAAAACAATGCTATGATTATGTTATAAATATATTTATTTGTGGAATTATTATTGTTTTATTCATTACTTGCTCTACCAAACACATAGACAGCCAGACAGCCTGGTGTGTGTTGCCTAGCACTTGTGATGAAAAATAATGCAAATAAAATATTTTAAATGAATTAGTTATAGCAAATAAGTATTATGATCAGTAAATATATACATTACTGGCCATCCTGGACACAAAGGCAAGCAGAAAATGGCCACTAAGTGCGTAGTGACCACCAGCTCAGCCGTCAAAACAACACTGTCCCCTTATCTCCCTCACCACTGTGGCCCCAGGGAAGTTTATAGAGGGTCAATAGATAGTTTTTCTTACTTTTTTTATTGTTTTATCATTTTAAAAGGTTAAAAATTATTTCTGGAAAAGTAGATTTTTCTCGATTTACTCCACGTGGGGAATACGGCCAGCGGCACCCTAACCCGGAGTGTAGGGGTTAAGAGATAATAAATACTGGAAGATGTATTGTAGTGTATTACTCGCTCTTGTGTCTGTAGAACAATAACGGTGGGATTCTTGTCCGCTCCTGCTGTTCCTTCCTGCTGAATGACGGGTACATCAGACAGTGGCACCACACTGGCCTCACCATCATCACGGATAACCAGCGCCCATCTTGAACTGCCAGACTCCTCCATCTGAAATACTGATATAATTTACCTAATGGCCAGCCCAACTAGAGGTGTACAATATACAGTACAGTGTACTGTACTGTATGTCAAGTTTACTTCTGTGGATTTAGTACTGTACTGTATATGGATTTTAAATTTTATGAGAAGCCTAAATATGTTCAGAATAAAATATAGTACAGGTCGTCTTCATTACCATAATTTCACTTATTGCAGTTTTGATTAATCATAATTTCAGTACACTGTACCCTCGCTTTATGCACATTCACTACTGTATATACAAACTCACATTTCTGAGGCAACTCTATTTCTACCCACAATTCATTTTATGCAGAAAAGATTCCCTATTATGTGTTCTGTAGAAGATAAAGAGCACTAGTATTAAATTATATTATCATTATTTTCAAGCCATATTAGAGTATTTTAATGATTTTTCTAAAACTTTTATAACATTAATGCTCCATAAATGGTTGCGAAACATAGCACAGTGTGTGTGTTTGTGTGTCTACTGCTCTGTATGTGACATCACGGGTTGTGATTGGAGTGGTGCGTCAGCCACTCCACACACTTTCACTTTCCACACAAACACTCATGCTCTTCATAGTTTTAGTTTATAGTCTTATATTATATTATCTTGGTATTTAACCCACATTAGAGTCTTGAAATAAGACTTCCACAACTTTTATAGCATTACTGTTGACTTTTAGTAGTTCTGGAACATATAATAATTTTCCCCATAAGATTAAGTACAGTATTCACTATATGTGGACTCCCATTATGATGAGTTGTTGCAGAACACAACCATAGCATAAAGCGAGGGTCAGGTGTATTATGTCTAATATATTCAATCATCAGATGTAGTCCAGTCCATAGTGTCTGAAAGTTTATTAAAACATCGTAGGCAAGGTGGCCATGACCTAACAGCCAATTCTTATGTAAATTCAGAGTTGTTCTTGCTCATTCTCCCTCACCAAAGTTGTATGTTTAGTGATATACAGTACGTACTCATTATTAAGGGTTCAAGCCTGAAAGATTCCTTCACCAATATAGTAAATGTATAATTCATAAAAATATATATTGCCTGCCATTAAGTAAATAATATACTTCATGTGGAGGCTAAGAATGGGCCTGTGTAACTTTATATGTCCCCTAAATTGCTCTTTATTTTCAGTTAGGGAACCATTAAAGGTAAAAGAAAAGTCAGGGTGACACTCACAAAGCTGGTCAGTTACTGAGATATACACTGTCAAAACTTATGTAAGATGTGACTTTAGAAAAAACAATCGAAAGTGAAGGAACATATTTAATTCATTTATGTAAACATGTAATTTTTTTGTGCTGCCTTATTTTATATCATATATATACTGCTGAGTATAATTTAAGATGTTTTACTTGGTGAAAGTTAAGTACAGTACACCCCTGCATACAGTACAGTACTGTATATGAAAAGATGGGATGATACGTCCAATGTAAGTATTTCCCTGTACAGACAGCCCCCGGGTCCATCACTGGGGATGTTTTTAAGTCTAAAATGGACCTAAGTCAAAACACATGCTATGTGCATACCATAATTACATCTAAAACTCACTTAATTTAAGACAAAAGAAGAAACAGAATGACAAAATACAGTAAATGAAAGTAAAAAATAAGTCTTCAGGTAAATAAAATAATGGAACATTAAAGTTTAACCTCCTTCGTATCAGCGGATGTTCGTAAATCAGACGTGCGTAATCCTGGGACTGCCTGTACTATCTTGATCATGTGAAAAGATCCTAAGCAGAGAACGATACCATCAAATTCATCTGGAAGCCATACCATCATCTCTCTGACACTGTGTTACACTCCCTCATCACAGAAGTACTTGTAGTTAACAGATTTATTGTTGGATTATAAAACTAAAATTATGAATGTGAATCTACAGTACTTTTGTTTTGCCGTGGCCTCCTCAGCTTCAATGAACTGACAAAACACTGATGACTATAACCTGTCTGATTTCAGCAGCAACACACCAGTTCATTCCAGTGAAAATCAAGTATACACTTCAATGATGGTTTCTGCCATTCACCTGAACTTCACAAAACAACATCTACTTGCCATTTCTTAAGTCAATTTAAAGGTACTATCTATCACGATGCCCCTCTCTCGGTCAATTGTCTGTTTTATGCAAGGTTTGCCAACTCATTTAGACAATTAAGTTAGGTCAGGTTTAGTTTGGTTAACCTATTTGGTAATCATCAGCGTGGCACATAATTGTCTTTATCACTGGGGCACTGCCTTACTACCTCATTTATTATTATGAGTCTTTCACCAGTGTGTATGTTTATTTGTAGTTGATGAATGTCAAGCCTCCCAGTGTCTTTTATTACTGCTCTTTTACTTTTTACTTTTATCCTCTTCACCACTGATCGGCTTGTTACCGCTTGGGCGATCGGTCACGTCTCTGTTACGCACTGTTGGCAGATACTGGGCATGCACCGACTCCTGAATGTATCTGAACCTGCTCCAGTGTTGGTCAAGTCTGGTCTTGAAAGAGCTCACACTCGGTGCCGTCACAACACTTTCAGACTGTTTGTTCCAAGAGTTCACAGCTCTCACTCTGAAAAAGTTTGCACTCACAGTTTTCCGAACTTGTGGCTTCTTCAACCTTGAGCTGTGAACCCTAATGGGCTTCAGCCAGCTCCAGGAATGTACACTCAGCTAATTAATGCCCTCCGAGATGTTTAAGAACTTCAATTAGATCACTCTTTACCATTACCCCTAAGTTACACCATTACATCCCACCTAGGGAATTCATAAATAAATGACCATTTCTCACTTCTGTGATTTAACCTAACCTACCATAACTTAACCAAACTATACCTAACCTAAACTTAATCAAACTATACCTAACTTAACCAAACCTAACCTACCCTATCCTACCCTAACTTAACCAAACTATACCTAATCGTCAAAGTGGGATGGTAAATATAACATAAAACAGTTAACAAATACTTTAAACACACCGGAAGATTCTGGAGTTGTTAACTATAAATAAAGATGTATTTATAGAGAATAAAATAGTGAGAAATGCCAATAGGCTAACCAGTCGATAAGCTAGTAAGCTGATAAGTGGCGGTCCGACTAATTACCCAAATGTACCCAAATGTAGCCAAATATAGCCGGAATGAAGTCAAATAATGGTCCGAGATGAATAAATCGGACTGCTAATCACTTCTCGACTAGTATATGGTGTCACAAAGTCACAAAAAATTGGAAAACTTACTTTAATCTGAGTTAATAGATCGCGTGCATGTACCGACGGAGCGAGTAATTACCCAAATGTAGCCGCAATGAAGTCAAATGATGGTCGTACAAGCGTAATTCGGGCTGTGAATCACTTCTCGATTATTATTTGGTGTCATAAAGTAAACAAAAATTGGTAAACTAAATTTAATCTGAGTTATGTTAGGTTAGGTTAGGTTAGGTTAGGTTAGATTAGGTTAGGTTAGATTAGGTTAGGTTAGGTTGGGTTAGGTTAGGTTAGGTTAGGTACATGCACTTGATCTATTAACTCAGATTAAAGTAAGTTTACCAATTTTTTGTGACTTTATGACACCAAATACTAGTCGAGAAGTGATTAGCAGTCCGATTTATTCATCTAGGACCATTATTTGACTTCATTCCGGCTATATTTGACTACATTTGGGTAATTAGTCAGACCCGATAAGTGGTGCTAAGAAATATAGTACTGTAGTGAGTAGTCCATTAATATCAACCTGTAATGTCTTATGTGATGATTTTAATGAACAAATACATATATATCTTACTCTGCCCATCTTTAGGATTATATTGTCTACCTTATGTATATCTTAAATGCAAATTACTATATAACGAACTTTAATGTGGAAATAACCTTAATAATCCTATGAACTACAATTAAGATATAAGTGAAAAACCTACAGTTGTGTATTGATTATAATAGAGACGGCTCTATTAGAAGACTTTACTCCTTAATATATACCTGTCATTACTTTACCTGTCATTACTTTTATTAGGAAAATGTTAACACAGAATGAACATAATGGTCATCATAACACACCTTCACACTGGAGATCTCTGACTCTCGTGTGTTACTATAACCCCACAGCAGCTCTCACACGTTCTCAGGTCATTACATAATCTTGCTGAAGCTCTCACCATTAATGTATTTGTTGAGAATAAATCCTCTAAATGGTCTAAGTCTTAACATACGCCGCCATCAGTGTCAAGAGCACGATGGACGATGTTGACCCAAGTACTGCGAACATAATAAAATATGTTTGTATTGTTTTTTAGATAAATACAACCAAATCTAACCTATTTAATGACTCTATTAAGATTATTATATTTATTAAAATTAGAGACTTGTATAATTTCAATAAATGAGACAAATTAGTGGGTATAGTAAATATACTTTAAAATAGTTTTTCTTAGGCTTTTCTGGATTAAATCAGAGTGATGTTGTCATAGGCTGAACATCTGTATCATCTGGTTACAAAATAAACCAATATGAACTTTTATAATAATTTAACTGAATATATTTCTATCATTTTGCTCATGTAACTATGATCCTACTCGTGGTACTTTGGCAGCATTAATCATTACTAAATTTAGGCCGAGTTTCGGGTTCAAACATACGTGGTGTTTTTCACTTAAATATCTGGTGAACATTATTTTGATTATGTTTGATAACTTTGTTTTATTTAGAAATAATCTCCACATTTATTAAACCGTGATGTGAATCTCAATAGAAGAGTGTAATTATAATTTAACCTGAATTCGTTTTCCTAATCATTATCATAGAAAGCATATGCTCAGATAATTTATTTGTCTTTAATAATCTGAAAATATGAGCTCCAAATGGTACTTTATATTCAAGAAATCTTTCAAATTACTGATAAAGCTTCTATAAAAGATAGAGCATGAACTCGGGTTATACGCTATCGAACACCTCTAAGAATCTGAATTATGTCTTATATGCAGAACTTCCCTCCATATATCTCTTAACTTCATTCATAATAAAGGAAAGAAAAATAGCACCTTCATGTTTCTTTGCATAATACTCTAGTGTAGTGACTGGCCTACTGTATGTGCTGACTCGATATTACTATTAGATTTCAGTGATTTGTGGTTGAGTCAGTTGCCTCACAGTTAGTGGTCTTGAAAGAGCTCACCTCGGTGCAGTCACAACTCTCTCTGGCAGATTGTTCCAAGAGTTCACTATTCTCCTCCGAAAAAAAAGTTTGCCCTCACCCAGTTTTCTGGACTTGTGGCTTCTTTTTAATCTTAAGCTGTGACCCCTTTTTAGGGCGGACATCCACCAGCTCAGGTATATACATTTTGACTGAGAAGTGCCCTCTGAGATATTTATATACACTTCGATTAGGTATTATATATCCTTTTGCACCTCGTGACATTGAATCTTAGCAGCCATTTCCTCGACCATTCTTGAAGGTCATCGAGATCTTTCTGCAGCTCTTCACAGTCTGCTTGGTTCTTAATCTCCCTTAATAACTTGGCATCGTCCGCAAACATTTGTACGGAGGAGGGAGGAATCGAGGAGGAACGAGGACGGGTGTACAGAGCCAGGGAGCGGTACATTCCCCACCCTCTCTACCTGGTGAACTGAAATTAAGTCACAGGAAAAAAGTCACATGACATGTACACATTGACAACGCAGTATATATATATATATATATATATATGATGGCATTGCATGTAGGTTAGGTTAGGTTCTTTCCGTGCCTTTTTCTGTGACTTTTTCTCTTGTGATTTTTTCCAGGATTCCTCTACCTCCCACCCAGGAGGAGGCGAGCTCCATGTAAACAATGACGTTTCTGACCACACCCTGCAAAATACAGTGTATTTAGCAAATGCTGCAGCTGCTGAGAATGGAGGGGGGCCGGACCTACTACCAAGAGCAGAAACGTTGCCGAGAACAAATTCCGGCTTGAATGTCATGTACACTAATAGTGGCACGTACCTTGATAAGAGAGTGGAGTTGGAAACACTATTAAGAGTACACCAACCCGATATAATAGGAGTTGTAGAACTGTTGAACAAGAACATGATAATCGACCCATAGGAGTGTGAGTTCAGTATTGACGGATATGAATTATTTACGGACCTTTCTCAAGAAAGCCGGGTGAGGGTACAGGGAGAGGATGTTTTTGAAGAATCAAAGTGGTCTGGTCCCCGAGATATGCTAGGGAGTGTCAGTTGATTGAAAATGTCCAAAGGAGGGCCACCAGACTGGTGCCTGCACTATGGCACCTCAGCTACCCTGAGAGACTACTGTGAAGCCCCTGAAATTGCCTACAGATGGGGGAGGGGGGACCTAATTAAGGTGTATAAACATCTCAAAGGGAACTACTCAGTCGAGTGCCTTTACCTGGAGCTGGCGGACGCTCGTCCCACAAGGGGTCACAGCTCAAGCTTAAAGAAGCCGCAAGCCCAGAAAACTGTGAGGGTAACTTTTTCGGAGTGAGAGTTGTGAACTCTTGGAACAATCTGCCAGACGGCACCGAGTGTGAGCTATTTTAAGACCAGACTTGAAGAGCACTAGAGCAGGTACAAATACATTCAGGAACCAGTGCATGCCCAGTACTTGTTAACAGTGCGTAACAGAGAAGGGCGATCGTCACTCCACGAACAACTATAGACCGGTGAGCCTGACCAGCATAATATGTAAAGTACTTATGAGTATTATCAGAGATGCCGCAATGGAACATCTACTACGAAACAACCTTGCAAAGGATTGCCAACACAGTTTTATGCCGGGGCGCTTCTGCTGAACACAATTGCTCAAGGTATTGGATATTTGGACCCATACTCTGGAACGGGGTGGTAATATCGACAATATTTACTAAGATTTTGCCAAGGCTTTCGACAGTGTACCCCACGAAAGGCAGAAAATCAAACTGGAAGGGTACGGAATTCGGGGAAATGTCCTAGCGTGGATAGAAGACTTTTTACATGACCGCAAGTAGTGTGGGTGGTGATTAATGGCACGAAATCATCATCCGTACCTGTCACAAGTGGGGTACCACAAGGCAGTGTATTGGGCCCGCTGTTGTTTGTTTGTCTCATAAATGACATGCCTGACGTTGTACACTTCTCCATACAAATGTTTGCCGATGACGCCAAGTTATTTCGGGAAATCAAGAACCAAGCGGATTGTGAAGAGCTGCAGAAGGACCTCTGTGGGCTCCAAGAATGGTCGAAGAAATGGCTGCTGGATACAATGTCACGAAGTGTAAGAGGATGCACCTGGGGTGTTCCAACGGTAAGGAGGCGTATCATGTGTCCCAACGGGATGAAGAAACTGTACTATTTGAGACAATGTGAGAAGGGCCTAGGTGTGTATGTTGACAATGGACTGAAGTTCTCGGGCCATTGCGAGAAGAAGGTAAATCAGGCCCGAGAACTTCAGCTAGAATGGCGTATGAAACTAAGAAAAGGTGGCACACACACAACCTTCCTTTCTCACTCGCTCCTCTCAACCACACATTCAACCACCAACCTTCCGCGTCTCCACCACCCACCAACCTTCCGCGTCTCCACCACCCACCAACCTTCCGCGTCTCTACCACCCACCAACCCTCCCGGTCCCCCACACACCCAGTTCCAACAGGGGATTAGAGGTAAGTATTCTGGGTGACAGGGGGTGTCCGTGAGCGTGACAGGGGTAGCCTTCACCACCTCTCTCCCTGTCAACCTAACACACCAAGAATCTGGCATAGACTTTTACAGACAGGTTGTACGGTGTGCTCTCTCTCTCTCTCTCTCTCTCTTCCTTGACAAGATATTGGCTTTTATTCTGAGTTGAGGGAAAGAAAAACGAATATGATAGAAAAGTCTTTTGAGATTCTGCCCCTAGACGAGGGTATTGGCTACGGTGTGTGAACAGGAAGCATAAAACCGTAAGTTATAATCTACGATCCACTGAGAATGACTCGTCAGATGGAAGTTTACGATGGTTCAATTAAAAACTTCCTTCTGCACCTACGGGGATGGTGGGGTGAGGGGTAAGTGGTAGGGGTAGCAAGGATAAAAATACTAGTCCGCGGGGGGTAGGGGGTTCTAGAGAAGGACCCTTAGTAATAATGCCTCCAGAACAAAAAGCAAAGAGGCCTGTGGTTGTAAGACAAGTTGACTCAGAAGTTGGCAAACACACGGCAAAAGATCTGAAGGAAGAACTTGAAAAACAAAACACGTGGCTGAAGTAATACAATTCAAGGACTACACCCACGTGTTTAAGATCTCATTTGAGGAAACAGCCATGGCAGAAAAAACAATTCAACAAGGATTTCTGATTTTCAACATGTCCGTAACACCAAACCAAATAAAAAGAGAAACATTTGTAAGCCTGCAGAACATATAACGAGGGAATGCCTGGAAAAAAGACCAAAAATTATGTTCCAACTGTGCTGGGGAAGATCACACTATAACGAACACAACTACAGCAGGATACCTTAATTGCAAGAGGAATGGCGATACTCATAGGGCACTAGCAATGGCGTGCCCAATAAAGAAACATATGATCAAATACAAAGAACGGGAGATGAGAAGAAGGGAACAAGAGAAGTAGGACACGACAGACGTGGAAATAGCAAAAAGGGCAGAGCAACAAGTAAACAATCCGGAAGCAACCATATTAAAACTGAGCGAGGCAGTACACGACAAAGTGATGATAAGCATGATACACGCACACCTACATCACAGAACTAAAGGATCGACTGAAGGAAAGAACCGAGTAGAAGGAACGACTACATCAGAAACACAAGAAGGAGAACCCAAGAAAGTAAGACAACAATTACAGGAGCCAAGAGACCCAAGGTAATCCCAAACAAGAACTGACAAGAAGAAAGTTGAAGCGGCAGCCAAGGGAGCTACCGCTAAACAAAAACCAAAGAGAAGAGATGCAGATAGTGGGACACTTATAACAACCCAAGACAGCAGAAGAAACCGGACTGAAGATCATAACAACTCCTAGATATGGAGTCCCAACATCCAGACCAACGGGAAAAGCCGGATGAAACAATTGTGGAGAAGGACAATATACTTAATTTTTTTCTTTTATCCTCTTTACCACTGATCGGCTCGTTAGCAGCTTGGGTGATCGGTCACGTCTCTGGACTTACCAAGATACAAACTTAAATGAAGAATACGTATGGACCCTAATAGTTACGGACAAAATACGAATAACAATTATTTTAACAGGGTTGGAAAAAATCAT